TTTTTAAAGGCAGTTGGCACGATGATTTGGTACTCGGCCTAAAATGCTAGTAGGGCGCTATATAGTGGGGAAATGGCGAAAGAACGGAGTGAAACGGTCAAAATCCTGCGAAGAAAAAGCCTCCGTTCTCAATGACTTAAAATCAATTTTGGACGAGTTTCCCGTAGGCATCTTGCCAATAACCGCTACCGAAGGTACGGCTGCATATGTGTACTCATATATCCATGCAGCCTTCATACCAATCCCTTCGCTTCATAATTTGCTTAGCAAATGAATCGATTAGAGAGCGTCAGGAACGGTCGTCCATTTGTGGGCGGGTGGACCGCGGCAGGCGTTCGGGTCGGTATGCTGTGGCTTGATAGGGCCCTAATAAGGGCACCTTTCTTTGGGAAAGACGCTATGCAGCGACTGCTTGAAGTCGCGGAATTCCTCCTGCCAGGCGTAATTAATCCACTCGTCTTGAGAGATCGTGCCATACTGCTCTTAAGTAGACTGAGGAGACTAAGCAATCAGTAAATAAGTAGCGAGATTAGTGCTAATAAGCCATTCGATTAAAGAGATGACCCCAACTTCACGGCAATTAGGTTTCCATAATGTGGCGCTAGAATTCCTATGAATAACAAAGCTTGTTACACCCCATATCCCAAAAATGGACAGGGCTTGGCTAGGTTTTCGTTGAACTGTTTCGTGTACGTTTTGCAGGAACATTTATCAATGAGATCTCAAGACGTTTGTTGGTGCGGACTGGAAGAACACGGCGACCCCCGAATGGTTGTACAGCATGGCTTATCAGCAGCAAAAATAAATGTGATGGTTGTCACGCAATTTCGTCTGAGAGAACTATCTTCCTGTCTTGTGCAAGATATAGACGGACTACAAGCCCCAAAATGAGGCCGCAACAAAGCCGACCTTATTCGAATGGAATAAGCAGCCATGCCCACCCTATCTCCAGGATATGGAGTGAATGTGCACTGAGCGAATACTTGCTCGTTTTCCGATAATTGATAAGAAATGTGGTAACGTGAGAGGAATACTCCTTTGAGAACCGATGGGATCACCGGTAGGAGTACTCTACAAGGTGGAATTGATGTGTTGAGAATTCTCTTCCACGATCAATTGCTCAGGAGGGCCCAGCGAAATCCGCCGTCAAGAATATTCTTAAGGGCTTCTTCAGCAATCTATACCATTATGCGCGAGCATGTTATTATTTGTCTAGAGTCTTAATCGCTGCGGACGTTGGGGCGTTCTGAGGGGCGTCAGTTTTCCACCAATTGTAGTCGCCTGCTAGCCTTCGTAATTAGTGGAGAATAGGCTGGAGAGCTGCGCCAAGTCCAGTCTCTCTGAAGCGCCGCATCCTCCGCAGTGAATAACACCTGGAAGCCTTAATAATCCCATATTGTCAGATTGGAGACGGCTAATTGCAGTATTCAGATCGCTGAAGAGGGTATTAAGCACCGAAATATCCGAAGGAAGGAATAAAAAAAATAAAAAATTTTGCGAAAGTTTTTGGATTCGTTTGGATCTTTCGAATATTTTGCAATCAAATTTTTGGCGCCTCTTCATGTGTTTTACATTCAGATTATTATTTCTGTTCAAATATTCAGGCCCTGTTTCTTCAGCTCTACCCATGAATGGGCCTCTTCTAGGGTTAGTAGCAAAAGTCCACATGAGGTGAAAGCAACATGTGTGCTTCGTTGCGCTTTCCATGAAACATTTATTTTTCTTCTTTCTCAGTAGTTTATAGGACCAGCACGCATACCGCAGAGCGGTACGCCTCCTTACAAAATCTTAACTAAGAATTTCCGAGAAATATAGGGTGGCAGCACTTCTTGGCTGTCATCCAAAACACCACAGGTGAGTGCCAGCGCATGATCAATGGAGGCGCAATCCATCACAAGGGGACCTGTCGGGAAACTTTCTGTTTTCGCTCGTTCAGAAAAATATGCGAACAAAATAGAAAATATAATTTGGGATCAAATCACAATAGGAGAATTCATATATTGCAATATGGATTAAAAAAGCTGATCGTGCAAAGAAGATTATTCGCGAGAACGAAAACATACCTTCGAAATGCAGTTTCGTCGCGAGGCCTTCAGTTCATGTGAAAATTTGATATGGAGGTAATAATGCCGTTGAGCGAGGGGGCAGCGCGAAGCAAACCCGCTATGCTTCCATATTTTTTATATTGTGCGAAGTGGGCATATACCCCACTTTTCTATCCACAATAGAAACAGGAAATACAATTTCCTACAGGAAATATGCAGGGATTCGCTTCAAAAAGACAAGTTTCGAGCACTACATCGAGAGAGGTGCCGACATGACGCGGCATACCCGTCCACACGTGGAGATACGTATGCGTTAAGGAGGAAGAAAGTAGGGAAGGGGGGGGGGGAATGTCTTCGCAAGTTCCTTCATTGTTGCGCAATTCGTGGGGTTTCGAAAGGGTCGCTCGTACAGACAGGGTATCGTGATGTGTGGAATGGTGATGTCAGTACGACCCCCCCCCTCTTCTCCAACACCTACCTACCATTTTTCCCATATTTTCCAGTTTTTCACCCAAAAATCGTCGAGCGGTGGGGGGGGGGGGGGTGCTACTCGTGAAACATAAAAAAAATTACGAAACTTAACAACCAGGGGAAATGCGGGCTACACATTACCTCTCTAAGCGCCGTCCATTTTTAAAATCGAAAGCGGAACTTGAACATGAAACTAGCCAGGTGGCCATAGATGTTTACAAAATGGCCAGGCATATCTGCAGGATACAATTTACAATATAATTCAGTATATTGAACTCGCGCCGAGAAACCTTCTCGTCGGAAGGAGAACCGTAACCCACCAGGACAGCTAATACAACTTTTCTCTATTTTACTTTATTTCGCCATCTTTCCTTCGAAATCGATGAAACTTCCTTTTCACGGTTCGTCTCACGAATTATCTGAATGAGTGAGCTGACACAACACCACAGGCAAATTATTCAGTGACCATAACATAAACGGTGATGGTTATTTTTCTGCAGAGAAAGCGGGAGAATAAAGGACAACCTTCCACTGGACTAATTCTCTAATTCGCGCTCATTAGGGAAGCAATATAACGCATGCCAAAGAGGGACATGCAGGGAAAATTCAACGAGTGAGTTAACTAGCTGCAAGCAAGTTTGAAGGGGCTATGCCGAGACGATTATCGATAATCGTTTAGATTACATGTGGATTTGTGGCCGTTCAAGCTACAGAGGCTGGGGCGAGTCAGCGATCTAGGCTTGGTGAGACGCCAGCCCGTTTCCCATCAATTGTTGTCGCTTGCCCGCTTTAACAATAACTGAAGAACGGGTTAGCACCTCGCCAACCCAGCTCCCCTCCACGTCCCAGCGTCTGCAGAAAATACGACTGCACAGACTTTACAGTACCTTCACCTCTTCTTAATGATGCATATATTGTATTGTAAACGCGTAAAGTCAACTACTCTAGTGGTATAGTTGTCTTTTTCATGTATTTAGGTGCGAGTGGACATAGGAAGTCGCCTAAACGGTCACGTCAGCAGGGGAATTTCTGAATACGGTACTTTCACATTTTTTTGATATTATGTGCTCCTCAGTTGGTAATAAATCTAGTGTTACTTCTATTCCGATATAGGTCAGGATCAGGTCTACAGATCTGGTCACCGTTAAACGTGTTAGTCTTACTTTATTTAAATTCCTATATCGATTTTACATCTATAAGTAATCAACCAGGGACGGTAGTAATGTGGCATAAACTGGCAGTTTACAGGTAACCATCAGCTCGCGGTAAGGTCGACTGCCCAAAACGCCTATTCCAGGGACTTTATTAAGAAAGGTCGAGGTTAGGTGGTCGTTACCACGACCTGAGGTGAACATTGCTATCCTCCGTTGAAGTGCGACGTCATAACGTCGCACTTGAGTTCTCAACCACGAGGGTGGAGAGTGTGGTAGAGATGATGCGAAGCGGAGAGACGCAGATAGTCGCCGTTCTACACAGTGAAAAGTCCTCCAGAGGACTTTTCAAAGATGGCCATCTCTGTAGTGCGAGTGAAGAGAAATTTTGGAAAAAAGTGAAATATTTTCTAGTAAAACGGGTATAAGGGGTGAGTAGCGAAAAATGCAAATATCATATAAAGATGTGCTATTAGAATATGAATTGATGTAGCCGGTTACCCGATTCGACTTGGGGGGATTTGAGGGGGAAAAATTAGAAAAAAATCAAAATTTTTCCTGCATAACTGTGTAGATCAAGAGATCAAGTAAGTCAGTATCATTCGATATGTCCTAGGGCCGAGATGAATCGAAGTGGCTGGTGAGCGGAATGGTTGGGGGGGGGGATTGTAAAATTTTAGAGTACCCCAAACTTGGGTAATTAAACTATGCCTTGCCAGCGTCGACAATGCCTGCTCGTACAATGTACGGGCTGTTTTCGGTGTTCAACATGGGGGGTTTCGCGGATTGTGGCGAAACGGGCCACAAATGAACATGTGATATCTATGGATATTCTAGAAGTGGGCGGAGCATGGAATAGGGACCATTCGGTAGAGGTCTTCGTGCAAAAGTTACAAAAAGAGCCACTTCAAACAAGATTCTCAAGTAGTTTGAAAAAGAAAAGTCCATAACTGTTTGCCATGTTCAGCTCATTGCTTGTTACCAGGGACCGCCGCCAGTCAGCATACTAGTGATAGCGTAGCGACAATTATGCGCGCTACCACTTGCATGGTGACGAGATCGATACCGACCGCCGAGCGAAGTTTTGCAAATAGCCTAGCGAAGCTCGTTTTTAGCGTGGTTGCCTCGCTCATACATCGCTCGTTGTTCTGCATAACCGCGAGCAACTCATCACATTTCATTGCGAGATTTAGATAGATTACTACCGTCCCAGATCCCCCGAGATAAGAATTAGCCTGAAGAGGTCTGTTTGAACCGATAGGTCCAACAATGTCATGCGGTGCTTCCGACCACTGCGCCAACTGTACTCATTGAAAAGAACTGAAAGTTCTACCTGCATAGACCAGGCATTTTTGCCGAATTTCTGGTCGAAGTACCCGTCAAACTCCGGCTCTAGTGTATATTTAATGATTGTTGCCGTGAAGACGTATTCTAGAAGGTTCAGTGCTCGTTCCATGTACGTCATTGGCACCGAAAAGCCTTTGTTGTTTACTAAAAAAATACTGGAAATAAAAGTCAGAGGGACAGAAGATAGTGCTCGAAAGATGTTACCTGGAACAAAACTGGGTGTGTTTGGTATACCTAGTGCGTTTACCACATACTCGAGTGGGTTTGTGGATACGGTCACAACAAATCTGAAGCCAGAGGATGAGTATGAACTCAAAACAGTTCTAACATGACTCTCATATAAAGGATGTTGGGTCAGGATTAATTAACAAACTATAACTAGGTGCGGTCCAGGTTTTGTTCTGGTGCATTGACGCCACCTAATCATAACGCGCCAGGCACCCACCCAAAGCGTCCACAGCTGCAGTGGCGTTTCACTTTCTCCGCTCAAAAGTGCACGGGAATCAGAATGAAGTGCAGTGATAGCCAGGTGCTGTTTCCGCACCCCGGCCGCGCTGTGGTCAAGATGCAGCACTTGCGTCGATACTGAAGTCCCGCAGTGGAACACGTACTCAGCGTTAGCGAACAAACGAAAAACTGAGAGGCGGAGCAGACAATTGTGCGTCGGCACGGTCAAGAGGACGTGTGGACGGCGCGTGTGGTCAGCGCGGACGGCGGAGAATTGAGAGGGTACTTGAGTTTCAATATCCTCCAACCTCACTGCTGTCGACTATTGACAGGAGAAAGTGGCATGCTACGGCAGCCGTGGACCCATTCCCTCACAGACAACAGGAATAGGATCCACGGAGAGGAGTGTATTGTTTATTTTTTAACAGTAAGTACTTTCGCATCATACTTTTTGATTCCCAGCATATACAGCAAACCGTCATAGCAACCGACGCCTTCCTGATACAACTATATCAAAATTCTGTTGACGTATCCACTCATGGAAACTCGTCCGAATTGTACAGAGCTGAAAAAGTAGTTGTAAAAAACGTAAGACCCTATTAGTGAAGTCATATATCACGACAGCCTAGGTCTGGTTTATCGCGTTAGATAATGGATGTTCAGGTGATGGAATAGTCGCCAGTAAAGTAAAAATGAAAAAAAAAACAAAAAACGCAGTCAGAAATGTATGGTATATATAGCCCATAGTTTCGCGACGCCGGGTTCAAATCCCGGCTCGACTCCCGCCCAGGCCAACCAAGCCTTCTACCCTCCGGGGACGGTGAATTGGTAGATTCGTCTGGGAGGATAAAACAGTGACTTGTATATCGGCTGGCCACCGCAAGTCATTGTATAGGCCACATCGCATTCTCGAATAATCGTGGAATGTGCCTTCGAAAACAAGATGATTCAAGCATCTATGGAACCATTCTAAAATATTGGCTAAAACTGAGAAGTTAAAGGCAAGTAGCACGATGAATCGACGAAGCGTGTTGGGTGACTACGCCTAGTAGGACAGAATCTGGGCCCCTGAGCAGGCGCTGCAAGGCGCTTTTTCCAGCGAACGGAACCTTATAGCGACCTATCAAGCTGCAGCATGCCGACCCTGAACGCCTACCCGCAACCAATGCTTCGGTCCTCCCACTATTGGCCGTACGCTATATCAAATTCTGGTGCGCTAATTCAAAAATTTTAGCACTAAATTGTGAGTGCAGTCAATGCAGTAAACTTGTCCGAAAACGCCGTCGCAGTGTTGCGCCGAAACGAACGTTGCAGTTTTTAGGCCGTGGTTTATTTTCGCTATTTTCGTCATTTCCCCTCCTATACGGTCACCGGAGTTGCTGAAATGTACAATATTTTCCTGGGAAAAAAGTAGCAAATTATCGCACCTCATGCCTTGAACTGAATGAGTACCTTTAGCGAGTGCTCGCGTCGGTTTCAGAGCAACTTTTGATAGCTCTATATAGGAAGCAATGTCACTATTCCACACGTGACGTTGAGCTGCTGCCAAATCCAGAGTAATTCCACCGAAATCAGCATCGATTTTATGAGCTTTCGTTGGCATTGGACCTTTATGAGGAATAATGTTTGGAGAATAAACAGTCTGCAACAAAAGATTTATCACAAGATGGAAACAAGAACTTCATGGACAAAACTCAGTGGTTCCTCAGAAGTAAAGCCCATTAGCAGCCTTTGATTATCAGTGAAGCCTCAAAGCTATTTGAGTCGGTTTTCTTTTAAGGGCGAGGGTCAAGCATGTCATATGACATGCCATTAATTAATACACTCCCCAGACACGGTATGGTATCGAGATGGGTGAAAAGACAATTTTAGTATTCATCCAGCGAGGACCTTCGGTCACCTTACCCTGGCACCAACGAACAACCTTTGTCCCACCGGGCGTAGCATAGCTCTTGCTGGCTTGTTAGTAAGATAACAGAGGACGAATGAGTCCCACTTGAGTTTCATCCTGTCGCATAAGTCAAGTTGTCGTGGCGGACGTCTCTCTTATTGGAGCACGCACTCTATTCTGGTAGGCATGAAAAGACTGGGAAGAACAAAGGGAGTGGTTATGGTATCACGCTTTTCCCAGGTTAGTGTTCAACTATGCGCGTAGAAGATCGAAATGTCAGGCCAATAAAACGTTCTATCTGACAACCTAGTTTGCAGGAAATTTAGGTTTGTCCGGAAGTTCTCAGGGTCTTTGTGTTACAATTTGACATTCATTGTGCTGACAGAGTAACTGATTCTCCCTTGCGTCTCAAGTAGTACATCCCAAGTAGAATTGGGTTGCGCTAATCTCGGTGGATGATTGTCATTCACCCATTATTGCCGAAAACCTCTTCCGAGACTTTTGAAACAGTCAAAGGCAAACTTCGGACAATATTTTTCTTCGACTATAAAAATTGGGGCAATTCTGCAATCGAAACAGCTCTAGCAAATTAACCATTGATATGGGGCCCAATAATTTCTGGAGGAAACACGCGTACATCAATGTTCGAACAAGACTTTCGGTGTGTAGCATTTCAGCCTTGAAAGACGACCTCGTAGCGGTCGACCTAAAGCAATACCTGACGAGGATTTGAAGGCGTTTGTGGAGGCTGACCCATCCCAAACAGTTCGAGAGATTGCAGAAAAGCTAGGGCGTTGGCAAATCCCAGTGTTGCAGATGGCCTGAAACGCATTGTTGCGGATGGTCTGAAACGCATTGGGAAGGTGAAAAAACTCGACAAGTGGGTGCCCCACAATTTGAGTGACCGGCAGAAATTGGCACGTCTCGAGGTTTCTTCTTCACTACAGGTTTTAGGCGCAGGCAGATAAACGACCGAACATTTTGAATGGACCCGAATGTCACCTGGATGAAAAAAAGTGGATCATGTATGATAACAGGAGACGTTCCGGACAGTGGTTGGATGCCGACGAACCACCGAGGCAATTTCCAAAGCCGAATCCTCACGAAAAAAAAAACGCAACAACGTGTGTGTAATGAATTCGGCTGTGGATCCAGCATAAATTTTTGCCAAACCAAGGCCAAAACCCACAGTAGAGTCCTAACTGGCGAAGAAATCGACCAAAATGCGACCCGAAAATGCCGCTCGCTGCCCCAGCCAGAAGCTTGATCAAACAGAAATGGTTCCAAAATTCTTCTGGCATCGACAAGCCGCCCGCCCACGGACGTTTCACAATCACTATCATTTAAATGATAGAATGGGTTGAAAGGTTCTACCTCATCGTGCCAATTCTCCACGAACCCTTCACCTGATGCGACCTATCATCTTTTCAAAACATTCATCCAGAACTTCCTTGCTGGAATAAATACTTCATACGATCGAGGACCAGCCCAAAAAAAGGCCTTCGTGGATTTTGTGGACCCTCGACCACCCAGTTCTTTTCCTTTGATGGGATTTACGACTGGTGTCACATTGGCAAAAGTGTGCTGATTCGAACGGTGCTATTTCGATTAAATCCGATGAGTATTAAGAAAGTTATGATCGTTTGAAGTGAAACACTCAAAACGCTGAGAACTTTCCGGACAACCTATAATTATATTAACATCATGCCGAGGTGATAACAAGGCATTTGTAGGCAAAGCACATACACTCGAAATAGAACTAAGAGCGTGCATAGCCGACAATGCACGCGGCTTTCAATGTGCTGATGGTAGATATGGTCATGGTCCATACAAATGATAGGGCGTTTCGATAAGGCGTGCATTGGAGGGCTGTCAAGGCACCTTTCCAAAAATCATGCTGTTCTCAAATCGCAACAATTGGCGAAAAAACTGTTTTGGCTGTAGTCCAAGTCACGCCTTACTAAGGGTCATGGCTATACATTTGCTCCCCACATAAGTAGGTCACACATAATTCTTACGCTGCAAAGTCCATAACACAAGCTTCACTTTTTGAAGTTGGAGCTACGAACTACACCCCACCCCATCTCGCGGGCAGTTCTCTTATAAGGCAGTGTTCATGCCATCGCCGTAAGCACACTGGAAATCCCTGAGATGTGGTAGGCGTGGCTGAGTACTTCAACTAAATGCGGCGGTGGCCGTGCGTTTGGTGAGATATTTTCATTATGGCACAGTTGTCCGTGTATGTATACGTCCAACACTGAAGGAGAATGACAAGTTTCACAAACGAAAGTATCCCGCATGAACACACGCATATACTGTCGTGTTCAAGACAAGTGTTACCCTACATCGTCTCTGAATTAGGGATTGTAGAGGCAACATCACCGGACGTGAATACCAATGGTGTATTACTCGCATCCCTGGAAGCGGTACGAGTGGGCTGCGTACTTGAGTTTTAGAGTGGCGTGCGGCCTCGGGTTTCCAGGCCGATCTTTTTCAATTTTGGAACAGCTTGTAATCATGTCTCAATCTAAAAAACTTAAGCCAAAATGTTGTCCTCACAATTGACCGTATATCACGAGTAACCGTCCCCCCCCCTATGCCATGGCTAAAAAGCCAACGGCTAACGTCTGTTCTTAGGATAAGGTGTGTTCTTTACATGGATTGGATCTTCAAACGTTATTTAAGGAGTGCTTGTAATGATTATGGTCTCAGACCTTCCTATTTCTTGATAAAGAGAGTATTCATCACGCTAGTGTTTCCTGGCATCATAAGCAGCACAAAAAGTACAATCCCATTTTAGGTGAGCAATATAAAAGAAATGATCGCATGAATGCACTACAGAATTCATTGGTGGGTGCGATTCTGGCGCTCTCGAGACGAACACTGGCGAGGTGCGTCCTGGTACTGGGCAGAAACTTCCGTCCTACAACCCACACCCAACTTCTCTACTCTAGCGCTACCCAACATCCTACATGCGCTCTAAGGAGATTTCTACAGAATTTACTGCCGAGGGAGTGGGAGGAGGAGGCGCCTGCCCGGTAGGCTGACACAAAATGGACTCTTAATTTAGGCATTTGCGTGCGACTCCCCGTTAAATGGAGGAGGGCAGGAGGAAACGGGCGTGAAGCGGGAAACATCAACAGTGGAAAAAAATATTCTAAAAACGGTTGCTGTTGGGCATACCCCAACAGAATCATGCCCTGACTTGTTTTGGGTTAACCGCGGTCTCTTGAAATCTTCATTGAGCTCTGCTTTTCTAGCTTCAGAGAGTACAGTGTACATTAGCCAGGAATTCAGCGGGGCGTACTAACAGTAGCCCTAGATATTTCGCGTTTCGCGGACTGGCAAAAGCTGACAAAAAACTAAGGTAAGTTACGTACCACATTATGTCCAGCGTCAACGAGTGTATCAGCCACTTTGGACATGAACTTCATGTGGCTTATACCGAATTTCGGAGCAAATACAAGAATTTTGTAGGCAAGACATGTTCAGTAATAAGTAGAAAGTATACCAGGAAGCAGCTGGACATAATAGTTTTGCTAGTTAGTAATGAAATCAAGAATCGTTCAGAAGTAGACTTTCTGTGCGTTTTAGAAAAGTTTTCTATGTCCAACCCACCGATCCTCTTATCAGAACCAGATAGACACATAACTCTTGTGCTTGTTCATTTGTTCATTCAGGTACACACTGAGTAAATATATTGAAAAAAGCTAGAGATAAGTGAAAAAGATCGTGATAAGCACATGATCGTACAGTGTACCTGACCCATAGGTACATATTTAGTTATAGTGAAAGGTTTACATCGGAGCTGGAGGGAGGTCGATTGAGGCTTTGGGAAGGTGTTTGTTGGTGGACCTGAGGCGATCAGCAGTCAAAAGTGAGTTTTCCTGCTGCTTCCATGTTGCCTCCTAGAGCCTGGTCTCATTCATCTATTACCCTCCCTATCATATAGACCACTGCATGTATGAGTCGATTCGTCTGTCTTTCCTCAAAGTTCCCTCTTTCAGGCCATCTGGCTGAGTGGCTTTCTTCGCCCTTCCGTACGGCAACGTGGTTCTTGCTCATGTTATCCATTAACGATGAGCGTCTCACGCGTCTCCACTTATCGCACGCTAGATGAGGGTTGGAAACTGACCAGGCCTTGTTTAAGGCGCCTTCACAGATCTGTCTCCTTTGACACGTACTCAGCCTACTACGTTCAAAGCTAGACCATACAAAGTACGTCCAGCAATCTCGGAATGTACCTTTAGATAAGGCCGAGCCCCCCGCGATGTAGGTTTTGATGAGCTGCAAATATTGTTGAATCCGCCATGTGGGTTCCAACCTTCGAGGTGATGTTTAATGCAGCACGTCAGCCACTGTGATTATAGCCCACATCCCGACACTGGAAGGAGAGTTTGAGGAGAGTGCATATTGTGAGAATGGAGCATTAGAAGCGAGTCGAGGCATCGGCACATTACGAGAATATTT